TCTAAACAGGAGATGGAGAACCAGCTGTACCATGGGAGTCTTTCCCTCCAGTTTGGCTGGGCCTGTGTAGGACTTGCTCCCCCTCCTGGTCTAATCGCTTTTCCTAGGGCTGTTTGTTGTCAAGTGCATTACCAATTGCCAGATGGAGAGAGTCTGAATTTAGGTTCATGGGTTGTTCAGTTCCTTGAACCCAAGCACATCTATTTTTTAAAAAAGAATAAAATGTAATATCTTTTTTTTTTTTTTTGGTAGGATGGAGATCCGTCACTTCCTCCTGAAAAAAGGAAACAGGTAAGATTTATTCCTGATCTCAGGTTATTTTATTGATACCTTACAGTTGGAAGGAGCAGGGAATCCCAGAATATAAAGAGAAAGTCTTTGAATTTCCCAGAATCCTTTGTGCTACTGCAGTGTTTCCCGCATTTTTTAACCCTACAGCGCACTTGAACCTATAGTTAAACTTTTACGGCACACTTAAATTATGTTGGTGAAAAAAAGAGGGGAAAAAAGTATATACTCACTGTTCTTTGAACTGCTTTTGAAGACAATTTAATTAATGATCTATAAAAACTTAGGAGGCGCGCCTAAGAGCCTCTCCTGGCACATTGGTTGAAAATCACTGTGTTACTGGGAGGAGTGAGTGGTAGAGATTCCGATTGCTCAGAGGAATTAGGGAGGAAACCCCATGACATCTCACAGAGTGAAGGAGGGTGGACCCATTAAGTGCCTCCCCTTTCCTGTTAGGAAGCTGAGCTGAGGGCTCCTGGCCATAGCCTTGAGCTTACTGGTCACTGGGTGCATACTATTCTCTGGGCACTTACTGTTGTGTGAGATGCACACCATTCTGTGGGTGCTTATCGTCCTGTGGGTGCTTACTGTTCAATGGACACATGCCATTCTGTGGGTACCTACCTTTCAGTGGGTACCTATAGTTCTGCCCCTTATTTCCTGCCACTTTACACTTTTAAGAGCTACCTTCTTCCCTCAAAGTCACAACCCATTTACTTCTGTTCTCTAGCCCCCCATTCATTGACTAATCCACTTTCTCTGCAGTGATTTTAGATGCCCACTGTTATCACTGAATGAATCTTTATATCTATGTGAATCTGGTTGTTGACTTTCTGTTCTGTTCTGTTCTGTTCCATTGAGTTCCTGTATGGTCATGGGGTTCTTCCACATTATTCTTTCTTTAAATTTAAATTTTAGACACAAGTTCTCACTCTGTTGCCCACGCTGGAGTGCAGTGGTGTCATCACAGCTAGCTGCAGCCTCAAATTCTGGGCTCAAGCTATTGTCCTGCCTCAGCCTCCCCAGTGGCTAGGACTACAGGTGTGAACCACCATGCCCTGCTAATTTTTTAGATTTTGTGTAGAGATGGGGGTCTCACTGTGTTCCACAAGCCTCAACTCCTGGTCTCAAGAAATCTTCCCATCTCAGCCTCCCCAGTCACTAGGATTACAGGTGTGAGCCACCACACTTGGTGTATTCTAGGTTTTTTTTTGTTATTATTTTGCTTTATGATCATTTTAATATCTATTCAGGCAAATATCCTTTGCTTTGCTCTTTTTATTAAAGACAAGAAATGTCTATCAAGTCTTCTCCAATCCTCCCCTCCCACAAATTCTATTGGTATTTCAATCAGAGTTTTAGTAACAGTCGTATTATTACTCCATAAATTTAACTAAGTATATATGTGTAAGCACACTTTTCCAAAAGATGTATGTGCTGGAATTTTCCTTAACTTCACATTTTTTTTCTAAACTGACATGCCCCAGTTACTGATTTTGGGGGGCTTGAAGGGAGCCCAGATGAGGGTGATGTTCATGCCGTGAGTTTCTTGGTAAGGGAAAGCTTCTGCACCTGAGTAGGACTTCAAACCTGGTGGCTGTAAGACATGAGGACACATCTGTGACGGCCCCCCCTGCATCCTGCTTCCGTTCATTAATGATGCGCCTGGTTCCATGTATAAACTCCCTGGGGTCATTACCTTGAAATTGGATGTTGGTGAACAAGATGCCTAATACACACACACATCCACACACGTGCACGCCTGCACAAGACTTCCATGCTCCAAGGGCAGCTCAGCCCTCCGGCTTCCCATTTAGTCAATTGTGGACTCACTTCCATGCTCCCTTCCTAGGTTATATTGTTCTAGGTTTGGAATGCTCAGTCTTTTTCTGGGAACCAACTGATGTTTTTTCTCTAAACAAAGTTACGCAGAAATGTATCACTAACGTGTAGAAATTGGAATTCTTTGTCTGGCCTTTTAGGTGTTTCGGGTTTCATGGTTTTAGTGATTTTCAGTGGCCGCCTTTGATGCCATGTTAGAGGGTGTTAGTATTCATGAAGGTGTTTTATGGTCTTAAGTGAATTCACGTTCTGTGACTTCATAATAAAACATTTATACTGACTGAGGAGAATCTGATGAATTCTAGTAAGTCTGTCAAGCTGTATTCTTGTAGCTCTAAAAATACAAGTTTGATGTCCCTACACATTGGCTTTGTAGCTTTAAACGTGACTTTTAGTTTCTGTCCCTTTAGGATTTAGTATGGTGGGGGAGTGTGGGCTCTGCAGTCTTGCCCCTGTGTTGGAGCTGCTGGCTGGCTGCCCGAGATAGGATGCTTTGGGGTGCAAGTGACAGAAATTCTAAACTGCTTGGACAATAAGGAAGCGGTTCCCCTGTGTCACCATCAGTCCAAGGGAACGTGGGCTTCAGGTGCTACGTGGTCTGTGGCTTCATGGAGTTGTCATGTTCTCTCCACTGTGCCAAATTTCGCAAATAAAAATAGACAACGCCCAGGTAAATTTGAATTTCAAATAGAATACAGAAAATTTTATAATGTTTTCTAGCATGGACGTATGTTACCTGCAATACTGGGACATACATATACTAAAATCTTCTTCACTGTGTATGTGAAGTGCAAATCTAACTGGGCAGCCTGTATTTTATCTGACAGTTCTCCTATTGTGCCAATTGTAACATCGACTTCCTCTAGTGCTTAGTGTCAGCTTCTTCGTGTGGCTGGTTCCTCTAAACAGGAGATGGAGAACCAGCTGTACCATGGGAGTCTTTCCCTCCAGTTTGGCTGGGCCTGTGTAGGACTTGCTCCCCCTCCTGGTCTAATTGCTTTTCCTAGGGCTGTTTGTTGTCAGCAGGGACATCCACTGAACTGCCTTGGGAAGGCTCCTTGGATGTCTGAGTCTCAGCTTTGTCATCTGTAAAAGGGGACAGATGTGGTGCCCACTGCATGGTGTGGCTGTAGGGAACAAGTGCGGCAGTGCAGCCCCCGCTGAGCATCAGGAAGTGTTTATCACCCTGTCCTCCTCATCCCTTTTTATTAAACCATTGAATGTTAGCCTGTCATTCTGGCCGCCATAGCTCTTGGCCATCTCTAGGACACAGTGCCCCTGTTGAATCCTCTTGGTGGCACTCGGCAGCCTGAAGTAGCTTGCTCCAGAGAGGACGGTCTGGCTCATGGACCCTCAGAAGAGTTGGTTGAGTAGCTACCATGGGAGAGAGAAATGCAGCTGGGTCTTGGGAACAGCCGCAGCCAGGGCTCGGTGCCCCAGGCCTCCTACTCTGCTCTCAGCTCT